GAAACCCGAACCATTAGCCAAGCAATTATAGTTGATATTAAGCCTCAGAATGATTATTTAAGAAGTGTTTGTGAAGACCAGCGGGCAGTAGAGAGACTGGTCTAGTGGGTTTGGGTGAGAAAGAGAACAACTTCCAGCTACAAACGTCAGTGTGAAAGCCTGAAGTTGTCCTGGGAGACCCAAGGCCCTGGTATTTGGGGCGACTGAGAAAAAGGTGCATGTTTGGCAAAAATACGGTCCAAGGATGGACTGTCTGATGTTTGCTGCGTCTAAAGCTTATATGGCTACCTGCAGCTTTCAGGAGCAACCGAGGAAGCAATCTGTAGGGTGAAATAGAACATGAAGGCAATAGAAAAGAAAGGATCCCATCCTGGCTCCTGGGAGAAGTCTGTCCTCTGTGAAAAGGAAGGGAAGAGACAATGGAAGCTGGGAGGAAATCTGTTCATCTGGATTCTCTCTTGGGCGGGCCTGCTCCCGTCGGAACTGGTCACATTCCACATCCACATTGCTGTTCTGGAAACTGGCTTCAGCATCCCCTCGGCAACTCTCTTCATCGTTCTGCCTCTATTTTCCATTGTTTGCATTCCACGAGCTGTTTTTATTTGTTTCTGAATAAACAGCTTCTCAATGCTTTGCTGTAACATGAGGGCTGACTTGTTGGGGTTTCTGTCCCACCTGGTACCCCACAGCTGGCAATTCCCAAAGAAAATAACACGGAGTCTACACTAGGTTATAAACTGATTGGCCCATTAGGTCAGGCTACTTATTAGCTCTTATAACTTATGTTACCCCATTATCCTTATCTACGTTAGCCACATGGCTCAGTACCTTTTCCAGTGGGGCAGCTTACATCTTTCCTCTCCGGTGGTCTGGGCAGAACTGCAGAGGGAGCTTCCTGCTTTCCAGAATACTCCCAGTCTCTTTGCTCCACCTCTACTTCCTGTCTGGCTTTCCCGCCTATACTGCCTGCCTGGCCAATCAGCGTTTTATTAAAATATGATTGACAGAATACAGACAATTCTCCCACACCACTTTGCTTCTCAAGGTGAGTAAGTAGTGATTTAAGGAGACACTGTACATATGAAAAGTAGAGTTTACCAGGAGCCTGGAGAGAGCAGATGACCTGCTCTCTCATCAGATATACTCTTCTCATTTGTCTCCAGTTTCCGAGGATGTTGGCATAGCTGTTTCTCAGGATTTTGAGGACTCTGGTGCAAGTCAGCTGGGCCCTCAGCTTTCCCGCTGCTCAGTTTGGGACTTGACTTTCTCAGTTGTACGGATCCATTGCTACTTGTCTCATTGCTTCATGGCCTACAGAATCCCCTTGCTTTTGGGGATTTTTTGGCACATTTTAGGAATAAGATTAAACAATGTACAGACTGCATTCTCTCACTTTTAAAAAGCGATTCATCTTCATGTATGTGAATGTTTTGCCCTCATGCATGTATGTGCACCGCATGTGTGCCTGGTGCCCTCGGAGGTCAGAAGAGGGTGTCGGATGCCCTTGAATTGGGATTAGAGACCATTGGAAGCTACCACATTCATGCACTTAACTTGTAAATGACCCCTCCAACCCCATGCATTTACTCACTTTTGATGGGGTGGCAGAACTAAAAATATGTGACTAAAAGTTATTGTTGATATTTCTTGAGGAATTTTGGACCAAAGCTAATCACACTGACTTCTAAGGAGTTTTGAAGCATGGTATGGTGGTGCACACCTGTAATGCCAGCGCTTGGGAGGGAGAGGCAGAAAGATTCCCAGGACTTCCTAGGCCCTGTATCATAAAAACAAATTTTAAAAAAATGTGAAATGTTTGAACTCCTTAAAACTAGTCACAAAATGAATTATAAGCTAGAGAGCACACGTCAGGGAACTGTCACTTAGGAAAGAGTGAAGCGTATCCACAGTGTGTAGCGTATCCGCTTGGCCAGTGGGTCTCTGGGAGAGGGTAAGTGGGAAGTCCCATGATGGTATGTGGTCCTGACCGTGCATAGTGCACACATGTTCTTCCAACTCAGGTCTTTACATTCCTGCTCCCAATCCCAAGCTCTGTCCTTAGTATTCTATAGAACTCAAGATGAGCCATTAACACAATCCCCTTAGCCCTAAGTTCTCTGTATTTCCTATGTAAATTCTCTAAACTCCCCGAGTCTGGCTTTCCTCTGAGGATCTTGCTCTCTCAGCAGGCCACTCGGGTTGTTGTCTCCCCATGTCACCCGAGGTAGCTGTGCTCATATCCAGTCATCCTGTTGCCCTGCTGGTGACACAAAGCCCTACTAGAATGCAGGGCAACAATGTGCAGCTTCTAAAGTTAGGTCATTGTCGCTTTCACCTATGTCTCTCAGATCATACACCCTGAGGAAACCTACGGTCACGGCATGAGGACTCAAGCTGTCCTGTGGAGAAGTCCTAGCGGAGAGGAACCGAGGCTCCGGCCCAATAGCCGGTACCAGGCTGCCAGTACTGTAAGTAAGGCTCTTTGGACATGAATGCCCCAAGCTCAGCCAGGCGGTCTGAGGACTAGAGTGTCACATGATCACCTTGCGCAGTCTTGTGATAGACCATGAGCCAGAACTTTCCACTTGTGCTATTTCCATGTCTCTGACCAATGGAAGCCACAAGAGATAGTGAATGACTATTCTCGCTCTCAGAGTCTAAGGCTTTGGGTGACGTGTCATGCAGTGCTAGTCTCCAGAGTACCACCAAAGCCATGTGAAGGGCAGTTCTCTTTCTTTCCTTCACTCTTTCTTAAATGTCCAGCTTTGAATTCCATGCCTGAAAACTACCCGAGACCGCTTCTCCTGTCATAGCCATCTACCGGCTCACAGTTCACGTTCCTGTTTTCTTTTGCTCTTTGAAGGGCTGCTGCTTTTGAATCAAGAGTCTCATGTAGCTGGGCTGACCTCAAACTCATTCTGTAGCGAGACACCAGCCGAGGCTGGCCTTGAACTCCCAATCTTGCTACCTTTACCTCCTTAGTGCTATGATTGCTGGCATGTGCCACTGTGCCTGGCTGAGGCTGAAGAACTCTGGTCCCTGCTTGTGCTCCTTCCCTCTTCCCTCCTTGTTTTTCTCTTTCGGTAATAGTTATTTCAGTAACTAAGACAAGCCTTTCAAGTCCTGTTGGCGGAGGTTTCTGTCCCACCTGGTCTGGCAGTAACTACACAGAAACTATATTACTTACAATATGGTTTGGCCAATAGCTTAAGCATATTTTTTAGCTAGCTCTTATATCCTAAACTAACCCATCTCCATTAATCTGTGTATCACCACGTGGCTGTGGCTGTTCCATCCCTGGCATCTGTCTCTGGTGGAGCTCCTTGACTTCTCACTGACTCTGCCTACTCTCTTTATATCTCTTCCAGCCTGGCTATATTCTATAAATCCATTGGCCCAAAGCAGCTTCTTTATTAACCAATGAAAGCAATACATATACAGAAGGACTTCCCACACCAACTTTTCATTGTTTCATTTTTTACATTGATTTTTAAAGTGATTGTGTGGTGTGTGTGTGTGTGTGTGTGTGTGTGTGTGTGTGTGTGTGTGGTATGTAGTGTGTATGCACATCTACGTGCGCACCCAGACCTATGCTCTTGAGTTCAGTGCTGGTAGAAGCCAGAGGGTGCTATGGAGCTTGAGTTACAGGAGGCTGTGAGTCGCCTGATGAGGGTTCTGGGAAATGAACTCTGTTTCTCTCAAGGACCAAACCTTCCAACCCTCTGGTGTTTTGAATATAATGTGGCAAAGCTAGAAGGCAGCCTGTGCCACGCCGCAGGGATCGACCAATCTAGTTCTGTCTCTTTCAGTACTGATTGGTGCTTGCTTGATGCATTTTATAGGTATAAAAGAGAAACATAAAGTTTACCAGAGGTTTTTTAGTTTTTTGTTTGTTTTCTCTTACCTTGAGAGACCGGGTCTGATATGGCTTTGAACTTCAATGTGGCCCAAGCTACTCTCCAAATCATGGCCTTCCTGCCTCCCTACTGCTTGGTTAAGAGGAGTGTGTATGGTGTCCCGCCTAGTGTGTTAGTTTTTAAGCATACAGTGGCGTAGAGTACATCCATATTGGAGAACAATCATTCTACAGGACTCTCTCTCCTTCCCAAACTGAAATTCCAGTCCCAACAAAGAGTAATACCCCTCTGCCATTCGTGGCAGATGCAGGAGTCTGTGCCAGGAGTTGAGGTTCATCGCTGATCTCTACTAAAGTGTGGTTGACATCCTGGCTAGCAATAACTGTTAAGGACTTCGCCAGAGGCAATAGTCACTAATTGCCACCAGAGGACGCAAAGCACTCGGACTGAAGAACTGGAGGTGGGATTCCGAGGGCTGGAGCCGGGAGCGCGCGTCGGGCCCGCGCCTGGCCGGCCCTCTCTTGGCGGGGGCTCGCAGGGACGCGCGTGTGGGGTTCCGCGGGAGCGTGCGGCGATGGAGGGCGCTCTGACTGCCCGCCAGGTAAGCGGCCTCGAGGGGCAGGTTCCCGAGAGGTGGCTTCGCCGACAGTTTCCGCTGCACGGCTGTTTGAACCCACTCCGATTATGATAATAAATTCCTCTCTTTTCTTCCCCCGTCCCCCACCCCGTACTCTTTGGCGTAATTCGAAAAGTTGTTACCAAGGCAACGGTTTTCTGTGTCTCCCGCGAGCCTGTTCCCCGGCTGGGCGACGGGAGGGAACCGAGCGTTAAGTGCTTGAATTTGGTCCCCGAAATGTTCCAATCCAGATGTCTCAGCACCAGACCCCAGTGAGTCTGGTTCCGTTGTGACTTTGACTTGGGATCCGTTTTGCCAACCTCCCTTCGCTATTCGCCCTCGGTTAAAAAGACAGAGTTCAAATCCCAGGCTCTCAGCCAACTTTTCGGTTTCGACTAGCATTGCTGTTTGTTTACCGTTTTCTCTGACATATGGAAGAAGCTGATTATTGGTCTTTAAGGTGAAAGCCTTCTGTTGCAGGGTAAAAGGTCCTCGGGTTGCTCAATACTGTCCTCAGAGCATTATGGGGGTTGTGTGTAAATACTTTACTTTTAGAGAAGTATTTCAGCGCACCTAAGAGGACAGTTCACAAACATAACTATGAAATAGGACGCAGGTGAACTCTGTTCTGTCAACTGTCAGAATAAGACAGTGAACCTACTGGCCGAGTATGGGGGAAGAATATGACACCTGTGGAGTTAAGGAGGTAAGGTTGAGCGTGAGGGAGTGACCGTGCTAACACAGAACTGATGATACCATGCTGGAGCTTTACGGGTGTGAAATGATGTGTCTATTACCGACGTAATTGCGGTCTCTGGGGGAAAGGGCACAGAAGGCCTTCCCAGAACAAGGTGAAGAGTGGCTTCCGTACTGAGGGGGCAGAAAGGGAGTCTGTAGTTGAGCAGGGGTGCTCTGTCTGACTGTCCCACACAACAGGAAAGGACACAGGCCTTCTTTATCGAGTTTCCATAGAAAACTTACTCAAGAGTTCAGAGTCCTATTTTGATGAGCAAAGCCTTGGGCATGATGGGTAAATCTAGAACTCTGAAAGGGGTCAGGAGTGATTGGAGAGGCCTTGTCTTTATAGGTTTAGTACACACAGACGTGTGTGACCTTGCTTTATACTTTGGGCACCAGTGAAACTACCCACTCCAGAAGGGCCACGCTCAGGCAATGGCCTGAGACTCTGTAAAATGTACAGATGCAACTAGCTGCTAGCCAGAGCATTTCCGTTAGTGTTAAGACCATTTCCTGGTCTTAGTCAGCTGGGCAAACCCGTAGGGCCTGCCCTTTGCCAAGGGCACATCTGGTTAAGGGAGGAAGCGATTGCCCTCCACAGAGCTTCAGCTCTTAGGGCAGTGTTGCCTGATGCTGTTTAGAAAGTGTCCAAATGCCTGCTGCCACTCCCTCAATTGGACCCAAGTTGCTTCTCCGGAAGACAGAAGGTCCAAGAGAGGAGTGACTTTTTCCAGTACTGTATGGCCTCTGTGTGAACAGTGAGGGCAGGGGAGGCCATGGCCTCTTGTAGTTGGGCCACAAAGTCTAGATCTGGCTCCGTTGGATCTTGCCTTGAGAGTCGGCATTTGATGGTGTTATGGCCGATACTGAACATCAACTTGACCGGATCTAAAATGCCAAAGAGACAAGGTTCTGGGCGTGTCTGTGAACAGCTAGACTGGACGAGGCCCATTAAGAATTGAAAGAAGGTGCTATTTATTGTTTATTCGCTGTGTGTGTGAGCATGCTCCTGTCATGGTGCATGTGTAGCAGTGAGAAGACAACCTGGACAGTTGCTTCTCTCCTGCCACCACATGGGCTCTGGATACCAAACTGAAGTCCTTAGGCTTAGCAACGAAAGGTCCTTACCAGTGGAATCACTCACCAGCCCAGGGCAGTGATTTTGATGACCAAAGTCAAAAGGAAGCTTGCCCAATAACCTTTGTTGTTTGTTTTGTGTTGAGTAACTCCCCAAACATCGGCAGGGAAACCTAGGTGACATTAATTAAAGGCACGAAGATTTGTCAGTGGGTGTATTTCAGTAGATGGTGAAGTTAATGCCAAACATCAGCTTCTGTGTTACAGAGGCAAAGAAGTCAACCTTTTTGTCAAGTTATTTTAACGAGAGAGCCAGAGAAATGGCTCAGTGGTTAAGAGCACTTGCTGCTCTTATAGAGGACAGGGGTTCAATTCTCAGCACCCACATGGGGCCTCGCAAACATCTGTAATCCAGTCCTAGGACATCTGAGGGCACCAGGCATGCGCACAGTGCACAGACACATGTGTGAACTAAACAAATAGATAAATCTGTTTAAATTTTAAAAAAGGAAAGAAACTGGACAAACGGAAAGTTCGGGAGAAGATGGAATCGTATAAAAGCTGTTTTAATAAATACTGTATTTCTAACTAGGTCAAAGTAAGGCCTTTTTTTCTCCCCGTATTCATGTTTGTCCATCCCTTCCCTTTGTGGTGGATGTATTTAATGTAGATGTCTCTCTTACCTTATTGTGGCTTATGAATCTCTTCCTCCAGAGAACCACAGATCAGTATCACCAGGCTGAGGGCCTTCCATGGTGACATCATAGGGTTTTAAACCCCAAGCTTAAATTGAGTTGACTTCCTCCTCTGATCCACTATCTGGTGCCCTGTGTGCTTTTCCCCATAACCCCAAGGAACAGTCTTGTTATAGCAGAGGCAAAGATAGCAGCAAACAGTGGTGATGTTCACGGGGCCTGGCGTGTCACAATCTCTCTAATGCCTGCTGCCCATCATCTTCCCCACCTCCCTCTCACTTTAGCTCTTTCATGAGCAACCGCCCAGTGGTGCCATTTCCTTCACGAAGCATAAATCATTTCTTTGAGTCCTCTAAACTGAAGCTGAGGGCCTGCTCAAGACACAGGATTCATTAACTTTAACATCAATATTTTTATAAATCCAACTTTTCTCTAATTTCTCTATCAATGGTGATGAGGTTTCTACTCTGCTATCATTAAAGGCGTCCTTGGTTTCATGTGCATATTAAGTTGCTGGATTGTAGTCTATTCCTAAAATTAGACCTTCCTGGGCTTTAAAAAGTGGTCATTCTCCCATTACATTGTCTTCTGAAATCGTGTCCTTACTGTTCCCCAGACCATGAACTTTGGGAGGCTAACAACTTTGTTTTTCTTATTTTCCTGTTTCTAGTACCAGCTAACCTACCTAGCCAATGGCAGTGGTTGGAAGATATTTGCTACATGAATGGTGGAAGCAAAACACTAGTTTCTGTCTTTGTGTGTGTATATGTGTTTGTGGTGTGTGCGTATGTGTAAGCACCCATGTGGCGTCTGCCTTAGTCACTCCCCACATTCTGTTTTGATAAAACTCTCTCATTGGACACAGAGCTCACCAATTCAACAAGATTTACTGGCCACTGAGCCCCAGAGGTTCACTGTTGCACCCATTCCCGGCACTAGGCACATGCCCAACTTCTATGTAGGTGCTGGGGATTTTAGCACGGGTCCTCATTCTTGTTCAGGAAGCACTGTGTCAACTAAGCCATATCTTCATCCCTGATTTCCATCTTCTAAGTGCTTAATATTTTTTTCTTTAGAAATTTACTTATGGGACTGGTGGGATGATTTTGTGGGTAAAGGTGCTTACCCCCAAGCCTGACCACGTGAGTTCAATCCCTGGGGCACACATGATGGAAGCAGAGAACTGACCCTTGGGAGTTGTTTTCTAACTCGACTTGCACTCAGGGCGCACACTTACACACACACACACACACACACACACACACACAAATAATTTAAAATATTTTTAAACAGAAAGCTTAAATTAAATGAACTTTAGCTGGGCAGTGTTGGCACATACCTTTAAACCCAACATTTAGGAGGCAAAGGCAGGCTGGTCTCTGGGAGTTCCAGGACAGCCAAAACTGTTATGTAGAGAAACCCTATCTTGAAACAACAACAACAACAAATGAAATAAATGCATGAATTTTAAAAGTAATTTATGTATTTGGAACAGGGTTTTCTTTCAAAATATCATTTGTCAACAAATAAATTGTTGTCATTTATTTGCAGGTAGTAAATGAAGGAGATTCAAGCCTTGCCAAGGAGCTACAGGAAGAGACTGAGGAAAATCCTAGCCCTATTGTGGATGAGAATAATATAGTATCGACCAAAAAGCAGGGACCGAGCACACATAATTGGAGCGGTGACTGGAGCTTCTGGGTAGTGTCTTTAATCTTGAATGCAAATTCTCTTTAATTCTCCAACAGTTGATATAATCCTTCATGATTAGCTTATAGATTTTAGATGTTGTGACTTTAGAGACCCAGTGACATTTCTCGTTGTTTTTTTTCATATGGCCACTAAAAGGCGCTGTTGCCTGACTGATGGCGTGCGATGGTTGGTTTCAGTTTCCTGGAGAAAACACTGCCACGCAATTGGATTGTTCTTAGTGGTATCAGCCGCACTGGCAAGAAGCTAGCATTGCATAAACTATGTTTCTAAGTCTTACTGAGAAACAAGCTATTTTATGTAATTTTCATTTAAGGACTCAGTTCCTGTGGCAAAGGCGGCTGAACAATGAACGCTCGGCAGTGTGTAATGGCTGGAAGATGGGTTTTTAAGTTAGGAGCTTCGGATCCATTTTAAGTGTAACTCTGTTATCCTTCCAGTTTCCCCACATAAAAAGAGACTACGACTTCCCTATAGGTGCACTGAGATTGTAGAGTCTTCGAGAAGCACATGTCTGTCACTGTGTGACTGCTAACATTTGTTATTTTAATGGGCCTCCTTCTAAAGCCGGCAATTCCTGTGAGGATTCTGGTATTCGATAGAAATATAATGCCTTGCAACTAGAAGTTTACCAGGCGCTGCACGGCACCTGTAGTTCCAGCCTTGGTTTATCGGAAACCTGACTTCTTGGATATTCTGTATCCTTGAGAATAGACTAAAAAGGACATGGTGTTTTAACGGGTTCTGAAGATTGGTACACAAGCTGTCATCCTCTTTGTAATTAACGGCCAGAACATGGGTGGTGTTGACTCTTCACACAGCCAGCAAGCTGTTACTTCCTACTAAGACACTTAACAACATAAGGTTATTTTTAATTTTCGTTGAGCTATAACCTAAGGAAAATATGTGATTGCTAAGAAATACACTAAAATAGCAGCAACTAAACATGTCATTTAGATCAGCTGTATCATTCTTGGTCACTTAGAAAAATTACATGTCATTTAAAACCTTTGATTTTTTTGAAGAGATAGCATCCTGTAGAGCCTAGGCTGGCCTCCTATTTACTATGCAGCAAGGGCTAGCCTTGGACGTCTGGGTTTTTTCCCTCTTATTTCTCTTCCCTCTTATTGAAAACAGATTTTTTTTTCTCATATAATATATCCGGATTATGGTTTCATCTCCCTCTACTCTTTCTAGTTCTTCTCCCCTCTCCTCCCAGCTGGGTCCACTTCCCTTCTTTCTCTCTTTAGAAAAGAGCGGCTTCTAAGGGATGGTAATAAAATAGAGCAAAATAAAATGTAATAGGATAAAGCAACAAAGATCACAGCAATGTTGGACAAGACAAGTAACAGAAGGAAAAGAGCCCGAGAAGGCACACGAGTCAGAGACCTGCTTGTTCGCACACTCAGGAGTCCCATAAGAACACTAAACTAGAAGCCACAATAGTACACAGAGGACCTGGTGCAGACCCACGCATGGCCTGTGCGGCTGCTTCAGTCTCTGTGAGTTCATATGCCCTCTGATCAGGGTGATTTAGAGGGTCTTGTTTTCTTGTTGTGCTCCAACCCCTCCGGTGCTTACACACTTTCTGCTTTCCCTTCTTCAGGGTTCATAGCTCTCCCCTGTTCTCTGAGGGAAGGGATTTGATGGAGACCTCCCTTTTAGGGCTAATTATTCCAAGGTCTCTCACTCTCTGTACAATGTCTACCTAAGTCTTATTTTTATGGTTTATGTTATGGATTATATTATGAATTCATTGCTATCTCCAGAGTTAGACAGTCATGGTGACTCTTGAATGACTTAAAGCAAGAGAAATAATAACAATGGTAAATCAAATGAGCAACAAAATCAAAAGGGGCTGGAGAGATGCCCCAGCGGTCAAGAGCACTGGCTGCTCTTCCAGAGCTTCCCGCTTCAATTTCCAGTACTCATATGGTAGCTCAAAACTGGAACTCCAGTTCCAGGGGATTTGACACCCTCACACAGACATATATGCACGCAAAACACAAATGCACATGAAACAATAATAAATTATTTTTTTTAAAAAAGGAATTTAGAAATAAAGGGGGGAAATGTGTGTGTAGTGGATGCTCGCTGCTGACCGTGTGTGGAGGGACAGCAGAACCGGCTCTACTAGTGCGTAAAATGTAGCATCGTGGGTCCAATCACTGGGTTCAATCTTTATTTTTACAAAATATCCAGATGATTTACAGATTTAAAGTCTGAAGTGCACAGGTTTAAAGGATTAAAGGTCTTCACTGACTCAGGTTAGGTTTTTAAGCTAATTATACACAGTTTTAGGAATTTTTGTATAAATTCTTATAGAATGAACTTAAAGATCAGAATAACATCTCGGGGATTTTAGAGACTTTTCTAGAGATTCCTTACCCAGACATCAGAACATTCCAGAATGGAGAAACAAGCATAAAAACCCATGTCCAGGTTAACCAGAGTTTGGGTTGGCATAGCTAGGAATATGATAGTTCTTCACATTTTCACCTGGAGGTTTCTCAATGTGCTCTTGCCACATTTTGATAAGCTTACATAAGTTGACTAGATCATTGAAGATGCAATAGCTATTTGAGAATAATATCAAGCAGCAAGGAATGCCAGCAAATACTCAAGTAGCATAGTCCCTTGGGCTGCCTAATTCAAAGGCCAAGGTCTGTGTAACCAAATGACTCTTTAGTACTGACCCACATTCTGAGAAAAGCAATGGTAGCTGACTTCCTCATTGTGCAGCCAGCATGAAGTGATTGAACACAGACCCACATGATGTAGCGTCATTATCCCGATCAATTACGATGCACCGTCCACAGACATGCACGCCATACCTCCATACAGCGGGCGGCTCAGCAGGCCTGTTTGCAGTGGCATTGCCACAGAGAGGCAGGCAGGACTGCTGTAATATTACCAGGAGATGGGAATTTTTAGCTCCCTGTATTCTCATGAAACCACTGCAGTGTACATAGTCTACAAATAATCCACTCTTGAGGATACTTGTGCAGCGCACAACCGTACCTTAACCAAGAGAAAGGACGTTTAAAGAAGCCAGAAAGAAAAATTATTCCCAGCCATCTTAAATCCCTCTGTTTCTACCACGGACTCTATCATGTTGGTTTCTTTTCTGTTCTTCATTCTGTTGAGAAGGTCAGAATTAATATAATACCATAAGAAGGCGAGCTCACAGAATTTAAATTCAACATGAGGAAGGCCTTATGAGGCACATGATCTGGTATTTAACCAGAATCAAGAATGTCAGGGTCATTTCAGACTCAAAGAATCCGGAGGTGTGTCTTTTCACTTTACGAAAGTTACATTTGTCTCTCTTTAAAAATATGTTTCTAGTCAGGCAGTGGTAGCGCCTTTAATCCCAGCACTCGGGACGCAGAGGCAGGTGGATCTCTGTGAGTTTGAGGCCAGCCTGGTCTACAAGAGCTAGTTCCAGGACAGGCTCCAAAGCTACAGAGAAACCCTGTCTTTAAACAAACAAACAAACAAACAAACAAACTCTAATAAGTTTATTTTATTTATTTAATTTTTTTTCAGGTATGGAAGTAAAACCTAGGTTAGGTCAGTGGTCTACCACTGAGCGCCATACCTCGAACCAACAGGATTGCTTAATTAATAAAGGGATGGATGGATTGTAAAGGAATGAAGCATAGGGCCGAGAAGTATAGGATAGAAAATACAAATGTATTCTGGTTTGCTAATGACTTTCTAACCACAGTGAACTAGTACAAGAGACTGCTCTGGAAAACACACAATGAAGGTTCAAAAATGTCCCCCCCCCCCCAGCAAGACTAAGATTTTTAAAGTCTCTTGGTCTCTCCCTCACTTCCTCCTTTATTTATTTATTTATTTATTTATTTAGAGTGCTCTGCCTGCATGTATACCTGCATGCCAGAAGAGGGCATCAGATCCCCATTATAGATGGTTGTGAGCCACCATGGGGTTGCTGAGAATTAAACTCAGGATCTCTGGAAGAGCATCCAGTGAGTGCTCTTAAACACTGACTCCACCTCCCTCACTTCCTCCTTTGATTCCAGGAATCTAACCCAGGGACTTTCTTATGCTAAGTAACGCTCTCCCGCTGTGCTATATCCCCCCCCCTCCCCTCACCCAGCCTGCTCTGTGCTCTTTGTGTCTCCAGCCGTGGAGGAGTGGACTGCCCTGAGTCCTGCAGCGTAGCTTCCCCTCATCTACAGTTCTGATCCTTCAGGCCCACAGGGGATGCAGCACTACAGCTGATCTCCAGGGAGACAACTGGCACCCTTCTTACCCATGGGAGGACCTGCTGTCATTGCTCTGACAGCTCCAAGAAGGTGTCTGGTAAACAGGTCCCAAACTTCTTACAGTTTGACGTTTGAAGAGCTAAGGAAAATCAGAAATGTAGAATAATTCATGCAGGCGGTTGTCCTACAGTACTGAACTGAGAGGGCATGTGATGTAAGTGTGATGTAAGATTAATTAGATTGAAAGGACATTGGGATAGACTGTAGGTGCTCGGGGATGTAGACCTAGGATGCAACTTCAGCTGTAAACAGATACTGAGTCATAATCTGACAACACCGGTGTGTCTTAGGTCAGTCAGTGGCACGCAGTTAAACAGGGGCTAATGAAAATGAAGTTAATGGCAAATAAATATTTATGCTTTTTGTCTTTTACTTGTTAGGAAAAGGTATACGGCAAAAGGAATGAAATAGTTTAACTTTTCCTTACGAACTAAAATAACGATGTATCCTATGTGGAGCAGAAATCGCAGAGGAGAAGCAGGCAGATCTGCAGCGGGTCTGTTTGTTTAGTTAGCTCCTAGTGCTGTGCAGTTGTAGCCCCTAGTGGGAGTAGGAAGGGGCCTCTGGGATTTTGTGCTGTGCATTTGGAAGATGGCATAACTTAACCCGTTGTTAGATACACTAGTTCTTGGGTATGGTGTTGATCATTGACCATCCTTTCTTACTTTGATATTTTATTAAGTTCCTCTTTGAAAA